ACTATGAGACAGACTAAGCATACGCGTCGTAGAATGAATATCACACAATGAGGGGGTTGCGATTTATAAGGTCAAAATATCACAGCGCATTGGGTTAAAGTTTAAAATACGCTGTCACACAAGGAACAACACCGAATGTTTCCATATCTGTCAACAGTAAACGGTTGTGGCTGTTAAAATTCACGTGGGTCCGTAGAGGCGTGAATTGGGCATTATGGGCATTAATACAAAACGCTATTAGGCATAGGAGAATCGCTTGCTCGCTGAGCCGTCACTGAAGAGACATGTGACAGCCGTGATTGGATGAAATAGTGTAAGGTGTTATGTTTGTTAAAAGCATCAGCATCCAGTCATTAAAACTGACCACCATTTTTAAGTATTTAATGCTGTCATTTGTATCAATTATGCGTGTACAAATTATGTTCGAGTAGGTAATTATGCGTGTACAAATTATGTTCAAGTAGGTGACAGTTGGTGCGGACCTGGGAGGGTTGATGTGTTTAGCTTCCTGTGTGTGTGACTTCCTGTGCTCGCCGGCTCAAGTTGACCAGAAAGTGTTTTATTGCAGGTTAAAGGTCAGACTGTAATCATGTGTACATGGTTGGTGATAATTTTCAGCGTGGTCACATACGGTCAGCTCTCCGCTGTTTAAAGGTCAGACTGTAATCATGAGTACATGGCATGGATAATTGTTCAATGTGAAGTTGAATGTATGCTGACAAGCGGTCAGCTTCCGTAGGGAGACAAGTGTCTGACAAAATACAGGAAAGAGTGAGGACAATTTGAGAAAAATTTGGTTGTACAGCGATGAAATGATTTAGCATTTGTCATATATATATCACTGAATAAGAAATATGTGTTCTCCTGTAAAACTTTTTACTCAACATGTTAAAAACTTTACTCTCAAATTGCAAACATAAAAAAAACCCATCTTATGTCCATGTTTATGACACTTATTTTTACATCATGTGACACATAGGTGACTCACATGCCTTAGTCGCCTCTTACGACAAGCATGGGTTACTGAAGGGTAACCCAGACCTTCATGGGTACAATACATTAAGAAACAAGAGAGATATACAGATTTCATTGTTTATTAGCTCCGTTTCAAATGAGTAGACATTAGGATAGGAGCTCTCCCAAATGCCTACTTTACATCTGTTGTCTTATTACCCTTCCTCATCCACCTGTCCTTCACTCTCTTCATCAGATGTTATGTCTTCATCTTTGGTCATGCCTTCGACCCAAGACTTATATTGGTACAAGTTTGAAATAACTTCATGATACATATTATTTGTGTCTTTTACTTGTTTCAGTATTCCTTGTGTCTTTGGACCATACTGCATATGGTACAGATAAGTAATAAATCGGGCATACGTCTCTTTAAACGTGCTCCACATCAATTTGTTCAGTTTGGCTTGAATCATGTCTTCGTTTAAACCTCTTTTTATGTACAGCTGTCGTTTCTCATCCAAAAAGTCTTTATTCAGCTCACGCGTACGTGAATACATTTGTCTTATACCTTGCTCTTCGAGATCAGCCATCTTATTTTTCCTGTTGCCATGTGTGACATCGCTTAATGATTCAACATCATCATCCTCATTTTCCATTTCAGGACATTGTTTATCGTGTAAATGTCTTTGTAAATTATGGTTAGTGCTAAACACTTGACCACAATAGTCACAATCTGACAGAGGACGTGGTCTCTTTACAGGTGAAAAGTTGTTGTCTTCCTCCCACCGCCTTTTCACTTGGGGTGTCCCAGGAGGACCCACTGAAGACTTTTCGGGACACCAGTTTCTTCTGTGTTTTGATCTTGCACATCTTGAAACACGAGTCCACAGTCATCACAAGATGGCATGGTTGAGAGGTTTTCTTCACACGTCTGCTCACGCTGAACATCTAACTCGGACTGAATGGTCCTGGCTTGGAGGTGTCCTTTTAAACTGAATGCGTTGGGACAAAGTCGCAAATGGGGAGGTGTTTGGGGTTTTAGATCAACCAACAAGTAGCCATAAGGCTTCTGGGTAGCCCTTTGAAACGGTTCCATGAAATGGTCTGTGTTACCTGGATACATCTGCCTCGCCAAAGTCATGATGGGTTGTTGATCGATAGGGTTGTTGAACAGAAGCAGATAACGACAGTTTCTTCGTTGTGTGGGATCCTTACTGAAATACAAATTCTGGTTCAAGGCGATCACTGAGAGATTACGATGATGACTTCCTTCTGTAAACAGATCTGTAATGCGTGGGTCTTTGCTGGCAGTAGACATTAAGTCATCGAGGATAACCACGTTCACAACACTGGGGTCCAAAAATGCATCCTTTTCGAGATCAGAAGGAATGCCTTGATGAAATTCCACATAGGGATAAACATGGGTTTGAATGGCATTATACAAGGGCTGCCATCGTTTGTAGAGCCATATAATACGTTCAGGATAAGGTTTAATGTTCATGCGTTCTAGAATCTGTTTCACTAAGTACGTTTTCCCACAGGAGGTGGGCCCTGAGACAATCATGGTGAAGGGGTGTATCAGTCTACATTCTTCCAAAGCACCCACATGTGGTTGCACTGGTTGCATCATAGGTGGTGGTGGTGCTCGTGGTGGTGGTGGTGGTGGTGGTGGTGCTCGTGGTGGTGGTGGTGGTCGTGGTGGTGGTGGTGGTGGTGCTCGTGGTGGTGGTGGTGGTGGTGGTGCTCGTGGTGGTGGCTGCATTGCTTGTCTGTGTTGATTCCTGAGATGTCTAAGCATGGCATCCCTTCTGGAAAAAGTCATATAGCACACGGGACACGTTGTTGACTGCATGGTGGTCCGAGTCTAAATGGCAGGGAACCATGTCTACTGACTGCTTTTTATCTAAAACGTCGTCTTCCGTTTCTTCATGGGAAACTGGGAGGAACTTCCAACTTTAGATTCCCCTTTCTTCTGCATCTGAATAAGAGCCTTGGCCTGTTCGACCACTTGTTGAGTAGGGGTAACAAAATTAATCTTATGTTGTTCTGAGGTTTCTTTTGGTTTATCTTTCTTCCACTCTGGGTCATACAGTTCCAAATATCGATCGACAGACATCATGGCAGATTTTTCTCCTCCATGCATTATAGAATGATAAGGATCTCCTTTCCCTTCAGCCCTGAGCATGTAAAATCGTGTCCATTTTTCGGCATCGGGTACGAAGAGTTTGTATTGTGGATTATTCATGATGAAAACGGGAGCGGCTTGAGGTGATGCGTCACTGTCACTGGTCCACGTCTAAATGAAGCTAGATAGCCCTTGTGGCCTGTTATATAGATATCTTCATTGACCTTGGGTTTGGTGTATTTTTCAACACCGCTGCCAGGATGGTCATACATGCTCTTTCCCCTGATTGACAAACCTAAGACGGGTGTACCAGATGTACTAAGCCAATGCTCTATCAAACAACCAGGCATTTTGAATGGCCTCATCTCTAAGTGCATTGACAAACTGTGGTTTCAAAACAAATGCTACGATTGGCATGTTACTGGTAAAAAGACTCTTCCACATACTTTCTGTTGTCCAAAGGGGGTGAACTAATCTTCGTAACACCGCTAGGTAGTTATTTCTATCATTATTCCTCAGGAAACGACGCCTTTCATATCGAGTCACTGGTAATCTTCCCTTTAATAACCTATTGATAATACCATTGATGGCAAGAATCTGTTCTCTATTCATTTCTAAGATGTCTTGTCGAATCTCCTCAATGTCTTGAAACATTAACATGAACCTTAAAAATTCGTAATGTTTCAACACGTACCTAGCCATATTATTTCTAGCAAACAAACTCTTATCGTGGTTGGGATATCAATGAGATTAGTATTTGAGTAAACCTCTATTTATACATCGACAAAAGACTATACATAGACAACCAATGCATATATATACTCTTAACGTGGATTTATTTCTAATATTGACACATTTTACATCACACTCTTGGTTGCAAATCCACATGACTACCCCAGAGGGCCATATTTTTCTGAGGTACTCCCACCAGGGCCAAATACGGACAGTCTGGAGACCATTTTTCATGTTCGACCCAGGAATCGTCATCTACTTCCCAGTTCTTGAGAACGAGACCACATTGAAAACACTTGCAAGTGTCCCCTCTGATTAAGTACACAAATCCTGCCTGGGCCATGCGACTAGGACTCTGTTTCATCTGCACTGGCCAGTCCTTAAACGAATCAAGTCTTTTCTGGAATGAAGCCCATTCAGTACTGATTGCACAGCAATCCAGTGTCTTGTCGAGTGGGTAATGTCCACACACATCCATGATATCCCAGAGCAGTGGTAACACGTCCGCACAGTACAACGTCTAAACCAAGAATGGCTTTACACCCAACGACTGTCACTAGGGTTACAGAAGGAACCCATGCTTGACGTAAGAGGCGACTAACTTGTGTTTTTTTTAAAAGGCTTTTACCCACCGATTCTTAAATTCTGAACCCATGTCAGATTGAAAAAGTTTAGGTTTTCGGGTGTTGGTTTTCCATAAGTTGGTCAATGCTTTCACTACTTCTTGACCCTTTGTAGACATGAGTGGAAGTACCCACAAATAACGTGAAAATAGATCTATGATGACTAAGAGGTATTTGACCCCATCATTGTACTTTGCCAGTGAAACCATGTCCATGAGATCCGACTGCCAATGACTGTCTAACCCTTCCACCACATAGTGCCCTCTTGGAAACGTTCTTCTGACTTGATGAGTCATAGTATAGTTCTCCTGACCTTTGAGCCATTTCTTGATTCGATGTAAACCAATTTTAAACTGACCCTCTGCTTTCACGGCATCGTACAATTTCTTGGGTCCAGCATAACTACCAGGATGTTCTGGATCATAATAGATCCCATCCAAGTAGTCTTTCCAAGATGCCATCTCAAACACGATTGAACATGTTTCACATACATCATGCTATTCAAACAAAACCCAAGACGAAAATACAATGCAATATTTTATTCACAAAAGACAATATTTACAACAACAACAACCTTTCACGGACATACATTAATGTTTTTCCCAACAGGTTTTCCCCCGGCCATTTCCAGGGTTTGTCAATATCAGGATGGGATACATCAATTCCTATTCCCCATCTTTTATCAAATGGGCTAGCTTCAGCTAACGGCTTAGGGTAGGATTGAATCAATATCTGTTTCAAGTGATTGTTTTGGGAAAATTTAGCCATTAATGCCTTAGTCATAACATCAAGACTGACAGTGTCCCACACTTTCTGAGTAAAGCCTTTCACACATCTCCCAAGACGTTTTTGCTTAGCCGGAACAGTCTCTTGTAAAATACGACTTGCGAGTGTATGATCACAAAAGTAAATTGCCTTAGAATACATGTAATATTGTTCAGTACAATTGAAGGTACGATTATCTATGTGTAATGTGCATGAATGAAAATTACTGAAGGGAGACTTCCATCCATAGAAAAATAGTCAGTTACTCCAACATTCATAGTCATTGGGGTTACAGAAGGAACACGTTAAAGCTCCCGTCTGGTTTTGATGATCATCCTGAAGGAGACAGGGAACCATGTCTTTGAGTTCGGGCACGAAATCTGTCATCACATCACAACAGTCTCTCAGTTTCTTCCACTGGTCCAGGTACAACAAGATACCCTTAGCCGTAGGTACCACTCTTCCCAGTTGTTCATTTTTCTCCCACTGTCGTAGATCCACACCACCATTTGGATCCAAAGTAGCATACATATTGGCTCCGATATGAGCATGATCATGGGCCCTTCCTTGATCGATGGCCTCCTGAAGCTTGAAATGGACTCCACTAAGTTCCAGCCAATGTTTCAAACTCAGGACAATACCACGTTTGGTAGGATAACTTCTCCCACTAGGATATACATCGTACTTCCTTACATGAATGTTCAGTACATTATTCCACATCTTGGCCGTCACAAATACGTCGTTGCCTAAGTCTATATGACAACGGGGATCCTGTAGCTCTGGCTTGTCTGCCTCTAATCCCAACAATGTCATGGCCTGTATCTCTCCGCATTCCTCCAAAGCTTTACAGAAGAGGGTGTAGGCTTCTGGTCCCCGCCGGGGAAGGGTATCTAATAAAGCTCTGACCCGGTCAAAGGAGGTTTGTGGTTTTTCGATAATCTCTGCCTTCATGAAGATGGTAAGGACTTCAAACTGTAACAGTTTGTCGACCACCTCTTGTACACGCTGTATAGCTTGCACTAGACCAGAGTAATTCTTCCTCAGGATATCACGGTGAACGGCTTCCATCTTCGAGGTAAACAGCTACCAGAATCAGTAGAGTCAAGAGGATGCGTGCCTTGTCTCTGACGACTGAATGACATGGGGACTGTTCAGAGGCCTTATATTACCCACACACGAGTCTAAAAATACCTCTGGGAAAGTACCACGGTCAGCTCATTGTGAAATGAGGTCAACCTGAAGGTCACACACACACCGGAAAGGGGACTCCCGAAGGAGGATGGGTCACACAAAGGTCATACCTATGTTGCGTCATAAAAAGAAAATGAACGATCTAGGCCAGAACCCACGGTCATTGACACCCCTGTGAAATGAGGTCAGCCAGGTGTTCGATGATGACGTCAGAAACAAAATGGCGGATTTAGGGCTATTCCAACCTGTGTACAACACACGCTCAAATAAGTGTCAACCTGTGTACAGATCACAGTAGACAATATCAACATTCGAGACTGTTGATGTCGTGCCGTATAACAACTGGAGTTCAATATATAACATGATTATTCTCCAATACTTGGCATCAATAAATAGGAGTAAAATGTTATTTTATCCCCGTAATATATGTAAGAGGGTAAAAATATCAAACTTACACAACATTCAGTAAATGCTTTGCGATTAGAAAAAAGGCAAGAACGAACAACATTTATAAATATGTGATGGACTGAGAATCTACATTGAAACACGGATAAAAATCGACTATAGAACACGAATTTTGTTTGGTTTCTTTGTATATACATTGAACCTTGAACATGTCTATAAACATACGTATAGTGAAATATACTTACTAAATCTTATTTCAACTCACACGAAAGTCAAAAGACTATACTATAAAATAACAATGGGAAACCGTGAACGTCCGCTACCCGCGAAGAATATTCGGGCAATACTTCCGACTGGTGAGAATAAGGAAGCAAGAGAAAACGACAGATAATAGACAATCAAGATGGAATAAAATTGAAAAGATCTAATTGTGACACATCCGACACTGATGACCATGAGGAATCATCAGGGCCAAATGGGTGCGACGTATTCCCCTGGGCTGGGGCTGGTGAGGCCTGCGTGTTTGAAGTGGATGGCGCTGGTGCGTTTTGTGTAATAGATGGTTGCGGATTGGTCCCCAAACAATGAGGAACAGTCACTGGACGGCGTAGCATTAAATGTCTCTGAAGGCATGCGGTTACCTGTGGTAAATCAGCCATGGGATGGTTCGGTAAGGAGACTCGGCCTCCCACATAAGGTGTGTTACAAGCCACACAATACATGGCAGGCGCAGGCAAGGACCACAACGACATTGCCCTAAACCGGAGCGAGCATTCCGCATGCACAGTTGCAAAGCAACATGGTAGAGGCCGTACACTCGTCATCGCTTCGTCAGGAATTTGCTTTTGACAAAGAACACAATGAGACTGTCGAGGCCACCTCTCATATCGGTCCTTCGTTTTCCCGACCACACTTGCCACCTGATGGCCATGAAATGCCCACGCACCCGCTACCTGTTGTAGGATATGACATCCTGGAAGACCATACTTTATTTCCAGAAAATCAATAAAATTTGCAAAGGATGTTTGATATACGGGCAAAGCCTCATGTGCTCGCATAAATCCATGTGATCATTTTAGGAAATGGATTACCGCGGGATAACACCGCATGCGGCGAGGCCAGAAAAAGATCGGGCGACCCGAAGTGTTCTGACAGAATCGTCACCTGCTCTAGAGCGACATCATCCATCAAAGGTAGCTCAACAGTATAGGATAATAATCCCGCCAGATACAATACAACTCTCCAAAGAGGGAGAAACTGAAAATATCGCGGACAACGAATTGTGGTCCGCGTGACGGGGGTTTCAGCTACTAGGGTTGAAGTCACCCGTAGTGAATGACGAATAACGTCACCAAGACTTCGTCACACGACAGCCATCTAAATAAGTTGACATCGTTGAATGCCTGCATGATGATAGATAGAATGATAGAAGTATAGTAGCAAGGAAATACAAGAAGTGGCCTTGTAGACAAAACAAAGTTGTCCAAGGGAAGTTTTTAGAATGAACAAAATGTCCAACAAGGGAATCACGAGAGAAGTGAAAAGACAACAGAGATCAAAAGACTCACCAATATGAACAACGTCGGCAGAGTGAAAAGCGGGGTCGAAGAAAGAATGACCATGGTGTTATATACCCACGACAGAATCGTACAATCTATTATGATCCAGAACATCCTGGTAGTTATGCTGGACCCAAGAAATTGTACGATGCCGTGACCACTAACATCATCACATAAAACATGTGGAAAACATGCGTTCCGACTGCTGGCATTATCTAAAAAATGTGATACAATATTATCATACGAATAAATATTAAGATATAATTAAATATTCCTTTTGTGACGATCAAATTCTTCCACAATGTCTAAAAAGGAGACTGTCTAACATCATAAACACATCACTCAATCGACTTGTGCCTACTTTGAAAAAATGTGGTACCAAAACTGACAAATATATGATAATAATATGCATAAAATGGGTAAGTGGATATCCCATTTGTGAAGAGTTTTAATTAACCGGTAATGGAAAAGCAACCCCACAATGCTGTAAAACCATAAAAAACATTGGTAGTAGTGGGGAGGAATCCCTTTAATTGCCACGCCTTTAAACAACTGATAGCAATCTTCCCAGAGACATAGATAGATTGTGTTGGGGTCTGAATGAGCACATTTGGGACTATCGAATAACAAGTAATGAGTAAAGAAAACTCGTTGAATACGAAAGTTGGTTAAAGGATTTGCAGCAGACAACGTAAGATCACGGGGGCAGAGATACAATTGTGAGAGAATAATCTCATGGCAAGCATAAGAATTCGTTAAATGTAAAACTAAGGACGTAACCGGTCGATTATACTTCTTGACTCTTCGAAGAAGTAAAACAAACACCAGAAATACTGTCGATATGATGAGGAAAACATCCAATGAAATAGTTGATTTAATCAAAGACATAAAAGATGGTTGGGGATAATTCTGAGGGGTGGTTGTCTGGTATGCTTTCCAATCTGTCAAACCATTAGTTGGAGAACCTGCTGTAAGTAAGGTTAAAGCAAAAATAAGCGTCGAACTTTCAACCATAAATACAAAACCATTATTAATAAAAAGAGGGACAAACCTGCGGCAAAACTAGCCGTTAAATGATAAGGGTTGCTGAACGACTGATCCAAAGCAGAGGATGGAAGGGAATCCATCCACTTATCTTCGAATTAAATTATCCGAAATCACTTGTGCCTTTTTCATACGTTTGGAAATAAGGCGTAAATCAACTTGAAACTTTTTGTCCTGTTTCCGAATGTTATCGAATACTTTATCCTCGATTAATAAATGAGGAATTTTGAAAGTAGAATCTTCTAAAAGAGGCTGTAAAGTTTGGAAAGGTTTCAGTACGGACGAATTGAAAAATTCCGATAAGAGTAGAAGATTGGGTGGATATAATTTTGAAGTTGTTGACTGTTTCTCGCAGTTATGAATTCTCATGTCTATATCGAATTCATCCAGTTTCAACGCACAGTGGCAAGGAATTTCGAATATACAAATCTGACAAGCTGGACGCTTCTCAATGCGACCATTACAAGTTAATATAATAGTTTTTATGCCACTGAGAAGAACAAGGCCTGGTTCGATTTCGAGAGCCATCGAACGAAGCCCGTTTAATCTACATTTAACATCAAACAAGGATTTAATTCCTGTTGCGTCCTGATTGAACAAAGCAATTGCGCAGGTGAGTGCAGTGTCTGGTTTCGGACTAAGAAAAATTGGACAATGTTTCTCGTGTTCACCAAAACATGTTTGAAAATCCCTGGTAGAAAATTCAATATACTGATCTTTCGCTTCCGAAACTGCCAAATAATCAGGTAAATTCATAACCTGAGTGACATGTGAACTTGACTGATTAATTGGTAAGCCAAATGAATTAATTCGATATACATCGAGGAGAGTTGAATGTGTCTGGATAGGAACAATGAGCGAAATTAAAATTGAATCTCCAGTTCTAGAACAATGAACAGTGCGTTCCCGATAATAATAGCCTGGATCCTTGTGAGCAACGTGAAACAACGGATATTCTGCATTGAGACGTTTTTGAATCATATTTATGGCCTTCTTTACTTCCGTGACTGGGAGCAAAGATGGACTCAAACGTTGGTTAACTAATTGCTGTATTCCCAGATACATTTCATCAATTTCCTGTCGAATAGTCGTTAAAAATGTCAGACGATCTAGCAAAATTTTCATAGAAATAAATATACTTTTTTCTACATCTTGTACCTGTTCGGCGACCTGAGAAATGTCCCTATGATTCGTTTCAATACCTGTAAGAACGGAAGAAATACGGTCATTGGTTTTAGCTATAAATGACGACATCTGACGAACTTGCACTTGAACACTACGAGACGTATTGGTTACATGCATTGATAATTGTTTGACATACTGCGCCAGTCGTTCTACATCTTCGACTGTAGCAGAACGACTAATAGATCCAATAAATGGAAGAACTGCTCTTTTCGTGCGTGAATCCTGTTGAAAAGTTTTAATATGCGGAATAAGTATTTAAATGTCTTTGCTGACATTAGTCCAATACTCGAGCAATTCTTGTTCCGCTTTCTTTATGTATCCATCAATAGCACTCACAGAATAACAATGTAATGCATACGATTTACAAAACTGTTTGTAATCTGGTCTATTACCCATTTCAGACAAATCTGGCAATTTATACTTAAATACATGGATCCATTTATTCTGTGAATAAATACGTGACGTATGGATAAATACAACTCCCCATGGAAGTCGTAATTCTGTATGGACAGAATTGACGTGATTCCGGATGCTGACAAGCACCATCAGCGTGAACAAGACCCAAACTGGTCGAAGTAGACTCCTGGATTCTAAAATTCAAAGAACGCGATTATGAACATAAATAGAAACTTTAAATTAAATCATATACTTCATCAATATTTGTAATAAACGTTTCCCCGCATTAGGAAACATAATCACTGTAAAACTGCATTCGTGAGTCTTCTCCTGTAAGTTGAAACTGACTGTATTAAAAATATGATAACAATTGTCACATGCAGGTAATGGTAGGTTCACACGAGAAATCGTGCGAATAAACAACATTCAATCACAGTAGTAACTTCTGATCAACCTGTTTCATCAGAAGATTTCTCATCACGGAACATATTTGTATCGGTACTGTA